CACAACGTATTTAATGTAAGAATAAATGTTAATGTTGTAAAATTCTTTAATATTAAACAACTTAAAGACTAGAATAATACTAAAGGGAAGTAGGAATCACCGCGATACTCGGTGCACAAGTATAACAATGGAGACGTTTATAAATTTATTTTTAATATAAAGTATAAAAAGATAATAATAAAGTCCGTATACGCGTTTCGAGTATTTTACTTACTTCAAGTCATGTACTGAATTGAATTATATTAATTCCGCTGAGAATAACTAGAAGTAAGTCGAAACGCGTACGGACTTTATATTAATTTTTTATACTTTATATTAAAAATGGATTTATAAACATCTTCATTGTTATACTTGCGCACTGACTTCTACTTCCCCTCACATTTTAGTCTTTATTCAATGTAATTTTACATTTTAAATGAGATTTTATTAAATTTCATGAAAACGTTAACGACGAGTGTTAACAAGGCTGTATAAGAACATTGTAATAATAAACTATGTTTTCCTGAAACCATTGACGACGAAAGTATCGTATAGCCTTGATACCGCAAAAGAGCGATCGCGAGTTGCCGCAGACAAATAATCAAGTACCGTCGAGGACGCTATAATTATTAATTATTTCCAGCAGAGATGTACGGCAATTGCAGTCGATAGAACGCGTTTAAATTAGGTCTCGCGTGTAATACTTTGTTACACAATCAGCGCCAAGTTCAAACCGGGTCACTCACGAGATCGCTGAAAAATGTTTACGCGATTTAAAAATAAGTTTAAAAAAAAAATTAATTATTAATATTATTTTTAATAAAATTTTGGAGGTATATCTATATTATTTTATCTCATTTTGGTTTTAATCTTAATAATACACACACATTGTCGTAATTGTTGAATAAATAATTAGTGCTTTTCAATCATCTTAATGTTATTGAGAAATCACGTTTCACTTATTCGGTGCTCTAATTTAAGTCATCTTACTTTAGATTTGCCCCTTTAGATGTTGACATTAATATTCGATTTAATTTATAACACATTACAACATTATATCTACAAAGATAAGATTAATATTTAAAGTGTAAATTACATCTTTCTTAAAGAATAAGACATTAAATACGAGCTTATTACGAAAGAAATAATGTTGGCTACGCTACGCGAAACTCGGGGCAATGCTTTTATTTACCATAATAGTTAGAAAGTTAGTGAATGTAATACCACGTAATTTGGAGCAGCTAGTGCTTCAAATAATCCGCGACATACTTTTGATTGTTTTATTAAAATAAAATAGTGGATATTAAACTAACGTATTGATCTATTTTTTTTTTAAGACTGCATGTATTTATTACAATAGATATCAATGTAATTAGCGATAGCGAGTTATAGATACTTAAAAAGAATTTCTTTATTATTAACGTGATTATAAATAATACTAAAACCGTAGAAAATATACTAATATATGATAAGATTGGTAAAAGGCGCGCAAATAATAAAATATTGTATATTAAAGGACGTAAATCAAATTAATATTTTATATTATTTCACATGGGCTTTACTTTAAAAACAATTTACTTTATAAACTAAAGATTTCAGATTTCTAATTTAAAAATTCCTAAAAAAATTATCAATTTTTGTTAATAAATTCAATCATACCTATTCACAAATATCAAGAAACAAAAGAAATTAAATAAAAAAATATTTATTACACAATTAATATAGTTTAAATATTTATAATAAATTTATATAAAACACTTGCATGGTTATATAAAAATATTTCAATCTCTTTTACGGAAATATAAAGTGTAATTTTTATGCAATCGATTCTCTTCTTTGTAAATAATAAGAATTATTTACATTTATATAATTAACAAATATTACTTTCCGATATTATATCGTCGTTAGGTCGTTTTTCCTATTGTCGTCAAATATGGCAGAGCATTAAGCGAGATACATGCCAACGTAATCAATCGACCATCGCAGCTATTTACTCTAAACCACACTAATTTCCAACGTTTTCCATTGTAATCGGCAAAACTATAGGTTCTACGCACAACCGCGACCTCGGCAATGTCGAACCTTTCGCTGTCGATCTAAACCGACGGCGACGACGTCACGCTCGCTCGAATCGAACTAAATAAATCGTCGTGGCAAAGTAATAGAGAGTGTATTGCGCTCGGTAACGGTAATAACGATATAATATCGTAATATCAAGTTGATTCCAGGAAACAAAGTAATAGTCCTCATCGGATGGCAAAGAAAAGACGCAGGGAAAGACGCGAAAGTCGTCGTGTTTACGAATTTATCTGTAAGATGATGTGAGTAGCCCCGCTACATAGTGGGCGGATCAAATGGGGTCATCGTTAACTCTCTCGCTCCCAATACGCAGCTATGTCTCGACAAATTAAATTCTCGTTCTACAAGATATTTTAAATCGAGATTATTAATAAAAAAAAAAAAAAAAAAGAAATAAATTGTTGAAATGTTTACGTCGATCTTTTTGCGGTTTTTAATTTGAGAATGAGAGAGTTAAAAATAGATACTTGCGTTTATCTTCGGCTGCAATGGCATCCAGCACACCGCGAAGGATCATCCAGAGGATCAATCCTGTCGCTCTGCAGGTATTCTTGTTTTATCCTTGATAAGTCGCGATACTCACTCACTGGACGCTACACTCGCGATGCCCTCCGCTTTTCTTTCTCCCCATTTTTTTTTTCTTTTCTTTTTCAGTCGTCTCATGTTATCTCCAGTCGCGTCATAGAGGCCTTTTTTGCACGAACGACTTTACCATCTTGGGTACGCACTCGCGATGAAAACCGGATTCGAGGGCCGCGAAGGTATGTATGTGTCTTGTCACAGAAAGTATCCGCTCGAAATCACTACACTTTGGTGCGCGATCGCTTAAAAGTATGGACATTGTTGGCTTTTAATTCGCGCCTGCCTGCACGCGTTTATTGGCAAGCTCGAGGAGTTCCGGCTTCTTAATAAATAACGCTGGTAAAGAATGCAGCATAATGACAAATGTATCTTTATCTTGACAATACAAAGAATCATCTACGATAAATTATTTTCTGCTCTTATCTCCTCTTATCTTTCATATCGATTTTAATATTTCGCGCTTGACAAGCATATCTAGATTCAAACGAGAATTCTCTTCATTACTGTCGACGATACTTGACATAAGAAACGAAAGAAACTAATAGAAATGACTAATAGAAACTGCAGAGAAAAAGTAAATGAGACATCGAAACCAAATAAAAAATTGTAGTTAAAGTTTCAGATATTCATGTTTACGTCATTTTTCATTTGCGCAACATAGCAATTTCGTAACAAAGTGCAGAGAGACTGGCAATAAGTCATGCTAACTTATTATATACATCGACTTTTCTATCCATATTTAGTTTCAACTAGTCACGTGCTAAATGCGATAATTTAATTACTGACAATGAGAACCAATTAATTATGGAAAATGCAATCGAATAAAAACTATCGCGAATTTTTGATCAACTGGCTGGATAAGCAATTGAGTTCAGCGTTTCTTTTTTAAGGTGGGCCAACCGAATGTCTGCATTGATATATATCGATATCGTCTGTAGCCACTTTCTAAAATGATTAAAGTGCTTACACACCGATATGATATAGATATCCGATGATACGATTACTTTCAACCATTTTATAGAACGAACGAAAGGTTAGAAATATTATCTGCTCTAAATTGCTCAATATATGTTCAAGTTTCTTATAAAAATCGATATTACTAGGATAAACGCACGGGGTGAAAGGTAAAAAGATCGACAACGTTCGTGCATGAACAGACTGCCATTGGAAAGAAACATATACTTATTTATATTCTCTGTCACGTAAAAAAAAAAAAAAAAAGAAAAGTAGGTATCTGATTTGCGTTACGCCCAGGCGACCGCATAATTTCTGATCGAGCCGCCAACACACCTCGCGCACATCCTTGACACCATCTGCCTAAAGGATGTGCTAAAGGTCGGCATCAACGTACATCCTGATGTAATACCATCAGACGTTTAATTTCGCGACAAAAGAGCGCAACGATTTCCACGAAATGTTCAAAGTAGAAGTCGTTAGCATTGTAACAACGGATTACATGTAAATTTATTATTTTACAAGAAACCTTTAAAGTGTAATGTATTCTTTAGTTGACACCATTTCTTCGGCTGGTTACTTTGTAAAAGTGAACTTGAAGATCCTGTTAAAGCGGCAAGATGAAAGTACGTATAATAAGAGAAGCTGACGGTCGCCGAGATCTTCGAGGCGAAAACCTGGATCGACTTGATAAGGAGAACAAGACGACTTTTTGTCGGTCGTAACGTGAACTGATCAGAAATAATACCGATATAGCGAAGTTTGTTACGTCGAGGATGAACATTCGTTTTAGCAGGAAATATGCAATCGCTATATATTGCAGCAATCCGTAAGTTGTGCTCCGAGATTATAAGAGATCCTCAAAACCCCTGGATGGAGAATTGATATTTGTACGGTAACGACAAAGAACGTTTGAGAGTTTGAGAGTTTAACAGAGACAAACATTCTAATCGTATCCTTGAATGATTCCGGAGTGATTCCAGTTATGACGATAGCGAATAATCTCGGCCTTGACTCTCGAAGAGGCCAAAGCCGCGTCAGCGTCTCAACGATCGACGACCTGCGGAACCGCAATATGATCTGCAGCAACACGGATCGGTCGATCCATCATGCTGAATCAAATCGCCGTCGATCAAACGTGTCGAAAGAGATCACTGAACCCCGTATTCGCACTATTACAACGTGAACTCAACGGAATTTCCGATTCTTCCAAATTGGTTCCCAAATCGATCCAAACTTTTTACAAGATAGAAATCGTCAACCAGGGTGCTCCATACGGTGCGAAAACGATCTCCATTGGAAAGTAGAGCGATTGTACATTGGCGTGGTACCCCAGACGTGATACGGGACGTTTGGAAAGAGATATATTTGAGGACCAGTTCGTTTCCGCAGACATTAAGACTTACCCGTCCCCATGGCTGACAGCAGCAGCCTCCTTCCGCCTCAATCCCTCTGCGTATCCAGGATGCAATCTTGGCTGAATTTGTATTCACTGTACCAGGAAAGAAACAAAAAAAAAACGACGATGGATGATGCGGAAAGGACGACCTCCTCGTCCAGCCGGGAGACCGCGAACGAACTGGTACCCGGAGAAGACTTTTGGTGAGACTCGAACGTGAGACAACGACGACGTCATCATCGGCCTGGTGTCTCATTGGCCGACCGTCCTCTCGATTCTCAGTTGCTTCGCCTCTCTCTTTCTGAGTGCTCCCTTCCTCTCCTTTTCTTTCTACACGAGAACTCCTCTCTCGCCACTTACGTACACGGTACACGTCCTCTCCCTCTTTCGGGCCCTCTTCCTCCTTCTCTCTCGCGCGCTTATTCTCTCACCTGTTCTCTCTCGCGCTTTCACGTGGCCGCTCGAGATATTTCCGTCTCGCTCTGCTGCACTCCCACGACAGGACTAGACCTCATGGCTCACGGTAGAGTCACTATACGTGTGCGAAGTCAGTGAGCTCAACGCCTGGAACCAATCTTCGATTTGCACGAGGGTCTGTGTAAGGTATATACTCGAGACACAGATAGCCGTGGGTTCAAGTGTCTCTGGATAGACGATACTGTAGGTAAAGGTCAGTTAGCGTTATCTCACGAAGGTAGATTCAGCGCGGGAGCTTCATGTTATATTTAGAAAGTTAACGGATTATCGGACTTCAAACCCTTTGGTAGCTGGCTAAAAAATTCTACACATACTGTAACAACCTTAAAATGTTAAAAATAATACCGATTAGTATCCGTTGATGTAATTGAAAGAAATATGAATACACATCAAGTATGCAGTACGAAGACATTCTTGAATTCGAACTTATTTTTTAAGTATAATATTAAAATAATTTCTAGAGAAGTCTAATTAGTAGTTTAATCAATTAAATATTAAATCATGCAGTCTGATTTTTATTTCCGAAATTAATTTGCACTTGCTGTGTATAATCTAACGAAGATAATATCACAGGATAAAAAGGATATAAGATTATAAAAAGGCATAGAACAAATTACGAAAGAGTTATTATTAACAGCGTATTAACAATTCGATAACGCCGGGTAAACGTTCATTACAAATTTTATCAATGATTGCTCTAAAAGAATCATTAATAATATCTTCAAAATAACAGACATCCTTCCTGAAAGGGTCAACGATACTGGTTGAACGAGATAATGATTAGATACGAACTGAAGTCCGTTCGTTTGAACACTACTATATGAAATCTACATTCATCTATGCATTGAGTATAATTTCCTCATCAGAATGATGGTATACAAGATAATTTAAAGTTACGGTTCAGTCTTCTACCACATAACTGCATAAAAATCAATGACTGAAGCAAATTATCAACAATGTAATAACATAATGTAATTAGTAACGTCTTAAGTGATATTAATGATCGTTGAATGAGTTTTTCAAAAAATGTAGAGGTGAAGTGATCTACTTGAATGCGTTTCAAAGTTACATAAAAACTGAAGAGCAATGTTAAACTACTTTAACATATATGGTTGTATAATGAGTTAGGAAAAGATTCATTCGTAAGATTTAAATGTCACATATCTTCAATCAGTAAATAAAGAACTGGGTTGAAGACAGAATCAACTCGAACATCACAACATATCGTTGCTTGCGGATTTACGGAAGTCAGACCTTTTGAAAGTCTCATGGATCACTGCTCAATGCCTAAAAAAATTATACTATGTATCATGGATCATTACGCCGATCCGCGGAAAAAAAAATTTATACAATCCAGGGAAATGCAGCAAAATATTTACATTCATGAATCCTTACACCTTACAGAAAGAATACCACCGATTCTTGTATTTCTACTGGAACCAGAAGAATGAAATTATAGTTAACACCAAGGACGTCGCAGCTGGAAACTCCCAATTCGATCAAATTTCGAAAAAATTAGGAAGAGATCGATTCTTAGCTGTTTCTTTTCTTTCAAATTGTTTAGATTTGTTGAAAGTAAAAATTTATCGATAATCCAATATCATAAAATAAGAAAATTTCTTTGTTTTCCGCTATTTATTAATTACGTAAAATATGAATAACAATAGTAAAAGGATTTCAGCTGGTTTTAATGACACCGTAGACTGTAGAATCTGCTAGTGCGATGATGTCGGTGAACTCGGGACGCCTCAGGGTGTTTCACAGGCGCGGGTCGCGAGAAGAATCCACGGATACATACACGCAGGTACACACAGTTTGTACTATTATGTTTAATTTATCGCGCGCACTTCTACGCATGGTTTGACCGATTCGAGAGTGCGAGAACCTCCACACACATATATATATATATATACGGACAATTGGTGTCATAAATAAACATCTGCACGCTGCCTCAAAGCTCTAATGAACGCATTGAATAACTCGTCGTGCGTAGATAAACAGACGCTTCCTAAAATTTGCAACGTCCTGAACAATGTAGATTCCGTGACTAAAGGCAACGCCTCGAGGAACGGGTTAATTTCTAAACGAGGGCAAGCGTTTCTTGCACTTTGTTTTGCACCAAAAGAAAACAATGCCAAGAGTGAATAAATATTGAAAGAAAAAAAGGAAAATAATTTTTCTAACTTTTTTCTCTCTTCGGAGACTGTTTTATCTTAAATTTTATGCTAAAAATTAATCTTGAAATAATATTCATCTATGAATTATGTATAAAAGATTTAATTTAACTAAACATTTCTTTGCTGATTCATTTTTGTTCTCTTCGACACATTCGAACAGCACAGAATATACCAACAATATTGTTACAACATTGCTATAATATTGCTACCTGGAATATTCCATGTTACCTGAGTATATTTTTTATTTTCATCTTGAAGTGGTTATTTCAAGTGATTCTCACTGCTCACTCATCATTTCTAAGGCACGATTATTCTTACAAATTAATTGGGTTCAAAAAGTCGTTTGCGTTAGGTATATGATTGGAACTGCTTTTTGTTCTGTACTCGCGCATTAATAATCCCGTGCATTATTAAAGCTTATTGCGATCACGAACGCGTGTAAAAAGATGGGTGGTAGCATTCATACTTTTACATCGTTCTTTAAAATTAAAAATATTAATATTAACATTGTATTGCAATGTTAATATTAACAAATGTTTACCTTTTTAATAATTGATTTTGTTTTTCATTATATCCTTTTCTTGAAATATGCTTAATATATACTTTTACATCGTTCTTTAAAATTAAAAATATTAATATTAACATTGTATTGCAATGTTAATATTAACAAATGTTTACCTTTTTAATAATTGATTTTGTTTTTCATTATATCCTTTTCTTGAAATATGCTATATTCCACTCGCGTAGTTTTCTTTTATTCGAGTTTAAGAGAACCCATGTCCATATCACTCTCCTGCAAATGAAACTTTAACGTTAGTGAAACTTTAACGAAATAATCATCATGAACGATGATAAAGAGTTTGTCATCGTCCACGAAAATAAATGAAGAAATTTGTACATTTTATTGATGTTTCGTTCTACGTATCGAACATTATTAATAATCGTGATCAAGCATATTCGCGATTTTCTCATATTAGAGATCGGTGTTCTTATTTGAATTTCTCTCTTTCAATAATCTCTCTCTCTCAAATATTGAAGAGAGAAAATTAGACTGTTATTATTTAAGAAAGCGCAAAGAAGAACGCGCGATGAAAAATACGAACCAAAGTATATCTACGGCCCTGTAAGAAGATACCTTCCGAACGTCCGATGAATTCCTGCAAGACGCGCTCGCGAGCCGATTCCTGATGGTGTGGGTAACGGGTTCGCGACGAAGCGCGTTCATTTCGTATTCCCTTCGACAACGCGTCTCATCCGCCTATACCGAGACCTGCGAATGGCCGGCGCGGCGCGGCGCGGCGTGGCGTCGGCAGGTTCGACTCGATCGGATTTCAAAAGCTGCTACGGTGCGGTAATTGAGCGTTTGTTGTAAAACCACCTTGCAAACAGCCGCAATCGGTGTCTTTTAGGGCACGTGTCCGCGTACATGCGAAACGAGATGCCAGTATGCTACCTTTCAGTCGGGTATCCTTTTAGCTCCTTAGATTAACGATAACTTTTGAGAATACTTACGATTGTATAGGCTATACAAAAAGTATATTTTTCTTTATCTCTTCATCATTGAGATAATTCGAAAATTCGTTACTTTCTTTGGCTTTCTTTTTCATTGCAAAGTGACAAACACTGTGAAATTCAAACGTAGGCGTAGAATAGATTATGCATTCCTATATATAAAATTGTTCACTTTCGCGGTTTAAAAAGAGTGAGGTAGGCTCGAAATATATCGTTCTCTCTTTTTTCAAAGTGAAGAGAGATACTGATATCAATTCTTTCTAATAAAACACAGATGCTGAGATTAGGGAATAGGCAGTCTATTCTTCTACGTGTATCTCTATTGAAAAGAATCACGTCACACAGTTGCATGATGAAATCATGTAATTAAAATACATAAATCACGTAACGGATTGTTCCAAGTCAGTACGTGATTTTTTTAAAATGACGTAATTTGAAAAATCACATGATATTAGAAATAATTTCATCCATCATGTAATTTTATCGTTACCGAATTTTAAAGAATTGAATGATAGAAATAAAAGAAAAAAGAACATTATGTGACTTTAATTACTTAAATTACGTGATTTATATATTTTAATTACCTGATTTCATGCCA